GATCTTCACAGGGCCGTTACTTTCAGGGTGGGGGGAAGGGGGCTTTACCTTCGGGATTCAATAAGAAAGTCAAAAATAAACGTTTCTTTCGGGGAGCCGTTATTTTCGGGGGGAGGGGCTTTACTATAGGAATTCTACGGTATTGCATGTAACATCAACGAAACTGGCACCTTTCTCTATTCTTACCGAACGGAAATTCTCAACTAAATTTTCCGGAATTTCGTTCTAAATAGGAATCAGCCACTTTTACCTAGTGTTTAAGTTTGTCCATATTTTAATCCTTTTCAATCGTTGCCGGCGTGACGTGTTTCTCGCTTCGTAAGTAATAAGTTCCTGTCAATCAAGTTTCCAGCCATCATTTCGCCGTTACTGAGCAAATTTGGTTTTCATTAGAAAAGTAAAGAAGACGCAAATTGTAAATGGTAACTTGCACTTTTTATAGCAAGATTTTGCTCAACAATATTTGCTTTACCAGCTAAGTGGTTCAAAAGAATCAATTCTGAATATTGAAAGAGCAAGGCATGATTGATTATTCTAAGAATGTGTGGATTCATCAACGCTTTTTCTACACAGGGCATTTTGCAGTTTCTGAAAGCCAATATTTCCTTTAATATTAGACTCGATGAGCTAAAACTTTCACCAATGAATGTAGGAATACATCCACCTTGAGCAAATTTATAGGGTACGCAGATTTGACGGATTTTCGTGGAATTTTGCCACAACCTTCCAGGGATAATGACAAACGAAAATGTGTTGGGAAATTTTAATATTTAACATATTTTTCGTCTTTTTCCTGTGGTGTCCATTTACGCAATACGTCTCGCATATTTTTCAGCTACTCCAACTTTAGATGCGGATATCTAAACAACCAATCAGAATATCGAAAAAGCCTGACACACTTTTGTTGATTAATGTTTTGTAAATAAGACTGTGCAACGATTTTGCTCGTGATGCGGCATTCGATACCCTATAGATTCAATAGAAGAATCATTGGTCGTTTCACGCCTTATACCGGCTACTGACACTTCCTAAGATAAGAACTCGCTTAAATTGTGCTCTTATTGTAAACAACATTTACTAAGCTTTCTTCTGATATATAGTGTCTTAGAGTTTTATCGAAACTGGCGCGCGCACGAATATTTTTCCTTAATTATTGCCGGATGCAAAAAGGAACACACAAACACGAAAATGTAAAACGGGGAAGTTTCCGGCGCATAAATTGACTCTGTCATTATTCCAAACAACGTCTCATTGTATTAGTACGTTATGTTTCCTTGCAAATATTGAGATACTACTAGCGTTATATTCAACAAGCCCAATAATATCTTATATTCCATATCAACAGGAAAATTATCGCTGTGCAAACCCACTGGGCAGGTGATAAAATAACACTCTTAGCTACGTCACCGCACTTGACAAGTAAAAAAAAAACAGAATCATCTGGAGCTCGATTGAGATTGAGAATCGAGTTTGCAATAATACCTCTAAATTACAGCAGCGCGGATATCTTCAATAATGAAGTGTAATACTGCTTCCAATCTTTAAATTTGCCATCCGTGAATCGCCAGATGTCATGAAGGAATCGCTTTCTGGACAGCTAGCTTTGAGGACGGACGCTCTTGTTTGGACAGAAACAGTTTTGTTAGCTGTTATCAATGTTGTGGCCTTCTTTGGCAATCTTCTAACTTGCTATGCCGTGTACAGAAACCAAAGGCTTCGTACGCTTCCCAACATGTTCGTGATAGCACTTGGTGTAAGCGATGTTCTCATGTCCATCTTCTGTATGCCTTTTTCAGTTGTAACTCTGTTTCGCGGCCGCTGGATGTTTGGGGAGAGTTTTTGTCGCTTTGACGGTTTTGCAGCATTGACATTTGCACTGGCTTCTCTTCAGACTATGGGATTAATCGCAGTTAGTCGATATTTCTGCGTTGTCAAACCAGAAAGGTACGCTGTGTTGTTCAAAAAACAAAGAGCTTTGCTGTACATTGCTGTTGTTTGGTGCATAGCTCTGGTTGGATCTGTACCTCCATTCTTCATGAAGAACGCTGGATTTGAATTCCAGCCTGGTAAAGCCATGTGCTTGTTCACATTTGAACGCAGTATTGCTTACGCTGTCTTTCTTGGGTCCGTTTATATTGCAGCACCCTTAACAGTAATTAAAATCTGCTACGCCAAAGTGTTCTACTCAGTGTCGCGATCAAACCGAGTTTTCTCGCTCCAAAACAACCTGCATCAACTCAGAGCGAACGTGGAGGAAGCAAAAGTGACCAAGACTTTAGCAGCAGTAGTAGTCGGTTTTTCTTGTTGTTGGCTTCCTATTGGTGTAATGGATTACATGGATGTCGCACAAGGGAAACTCACCTTTCCGCGACAGGCTTACCTTACATACGGGTTCTTGCTATATCTTAGTAGCACGATAAACCCCTTCATATATGCAGGAACAAATAAGCAGTTCAGGCGAGAGTTCAAATCCGTTTTGAGTCAGATTCTGTGCTTTTGGTGGCAAACCAATCACCAAAATTAACATAAAGCAAAGCCTCTCAGCTGTTTTTTACAGGTTCGGAGGGGTTATGAAAGAAACTCAGTTGAGCGCATAGCATTACATAAACGTTTGTTTCCTAATTAACTTTTGCAAACTCACCGATGTACTCTGAAATGTATCTGCGGGTAAATCAACTGGGCCAAAAGATGAAGTTATAACCTTTTTATTCACACCCAAATCCAGTTCTCTACATGTACGGGTGGAGCGGTGAAATTAAATTATGGAAACGACCATTTCAATATTATCAGGAAATTCCGGCTTCGATGCGTAAATGGAAAACGAACTACAGCCAGGGGAAAAGCAACTTCTGAAAAGATTGTTCCGTTTACCAGTTTGGCTATTACTAACAGAAATTCTTATTTCATGTAACATCAACGATGACTGGCGCCTTTCTCTGTTCTTTCGGAACGGAAATTTCTAACCAAAATTTCCAGAATTTCGTTCTAAATAGGAATCAGCCACTGTTACGTAATGTTTAAGTTTGTCCATATTMTAATCCATTTTAACCGTTGCCAGCGTGACGGGTTCTCGCTTCGTACGTGGTAAGTTCCTGTCAATCAAGTTTCCAGTCATCATTTTGCCGTTACTGGGCAGATTTGGTTTCCACTAGAGCAACGAAGAAAACGCAAATGGTAACTTGCACTTTTTATAGCAAGATTTTGCTCAACAATGTTTGCTTTATCAGCGTAAGTGCTTCAAAAGAATCAATTCTGAATATTGAAAGAGCAAGGCATGATTAATTATTCTAAGAATGTGGGGACTCATTAACGCTTTTTCTATACACGGACATTTTGCAGTTTCTGAAAGCCAATATTTCCTTCAATATGAGACCCAAAGAGAGAACTTTCACCATTACTAATTGTCACATGCTCTTTAATTGGAAATGGAAACAATTCGCATTTAGCTTAATGCGTCTATACGGAAAATATTATACATGTAAAAATGAACCAAAATGAAAACAACGAGGCCATGTTGAAATTAAAAAGGTTTTTTTTTTCTCCCGCGGAGCAAACAATAACAACAGCTAAAAACTTCTGTATTATTCGCTGACGAGTTATTTTTGGTGGACATTAGTAGAAGCCATCTTCGGCTGAGAGAGGAAAACAGCCGTTTATCTCGAAAGTCTGGCCGATCCGCCGCTGTAAGCAAATGCATAAATATCTGTGGGTCAACAAACTTGGCCAAATGGATTGGCGAGTTCACATCCCACGGCTCATTCCTCATGTGGGACGTTTAAACATAAGGAATTTTATGTAAATATCAATATCGATTCCACTTCTTTTGCACTTCTCTATTCCATCCTTTTTTTGTATTTCCTAATAAGCCTGGTGGTCACTACGAGATAAGTACAAGCACAAACATAAGCCTAATGTTAGGGAGAACGCCCACAACACAAGTATAAGCACCAGAACAAGAAAAACAAAACTTTTTGTTCTTCCTGTTCTTGTGCTTATGTTTATGTCAGGTGAGAACGCCATGCTGTAAGCATAAGCATAAGCGATAGTCCGCCATTTTTTTTTTACTTTGTCCAGGAGGTATGGAACCAAAAGTAAGGCAATTATCCATTCTGCGCGTACGTACCTCCTTATGTTTGTGTTGTGGGTGTTCTTACTACCATTATGCTGGTGCTTGTGCTTATGATTTAGTGAAAACCAGGCTTAAATCGATTTTCCAAACAATTTCAACTGAAAATCCCTAACTCCTTTTATTTTAGATTTATTATGTCTATCCCAACCCTATGGAAATCAGCAAGAAAAAACCTTTTTCGTCGCAAACTTCAAACGGCAAAAACAAAAATAACGCAATACTGATCCACTAAAACCGTATACTCTGTACTGTTATAAAAATGTCTTATACTCTGTTCTGTTATGAAAATGTCTTTTTACCTCCCACGGAAAGCAAAACCTTAAGATATGGTAAGGCCATCCCCCTTTTTTTTTCGTTTATTGTCGAATGCGCTTTCTGATTTTGGGTCGGTCGGTCGGAAAAGGAAAAAAAACAAAACAAAAATAAAATTGGAAAAGGAGTCTGGAACTAGGAGGCCCGGTACCTCAGCATAATATCCGTGGGGCCTGGAAACAACAAGGTGTGGTTACAAAGTCAACATCGCAGCAATGGAGGAAGGAAAAAGTCGACGTCGTTGTTAAAATCAAACGAGAACAGGGAAAAACTAAAAATCTGTAAGGCAAAAAATTGCTTATGTTTCAGATTAAAGTGACAATTGTTTGAAATAATGTGTCATTGCCCTTCATTGCCTTCTGTGTAACTTTTTTTTTTTTGAAACCTCGAAAATCTGGGTCGGTCGGACGACGCTAAACAGAGAAAAAAAGGGGGATGGCCTAATACCCAGGAAAACATTTATAGAGTTTATGAACTATCGTTCAAAATAAAGAATGACATACAGTGGTGGTCTACATGGTTACGATAAATGCCCTCAATATCTGACTGACACTCTATCGACCCCATGTTTTTACACTATGCTTCAACTTCATCCTGTTGTAGCTTATTTCAAACCTGCTGGGTTAAGAGACGTAAAGAAAACCGTAACGTTATCAAACAGCATAATATTATGCGAAATCTTTGAAAATATGGGACGCATATTCTTTGAATTATATGCTTCTTATCGGGAAGTACTCTCTATATAATGGCTGCTTGCACGAAGAAAAGCTCTGTTTTACAATCTGTAACGTGGTGTTCCACATTCAAAATATTTTTTTTAATTAAATAACTCTGTGGGTCAGTTTTGGCACCGAGTTAAAGGACTTAGCACTGACTTCAAAAATGAGCTTTTCCTGGTCACATGCCACAATAGTTAATGAATAACTAGCCACTGACTGTTAAAAAGTGGTCTCCATTATAAGCACGATAACGTAATAATGAATAGTTTGAGAAGCATGGAACTAAGTTCATCCTGTCCGTTAACAAGTTGGCCAGGTGTCAAACCTCAGAAAATAGTGTTATGAGGTTTACTTTTTTCGTGAAAATGGGAAAAAGTTTCCTAATATTAACTAATATTAATTATGTTAACTGAATAACAGGGAAAACTTTTCAAAAATTAAAAATTTTATTAATTTACGACCTAGATAATTGTCCTTTACCAATCTTGAAAATCTGACAACATTCGGTTGAAACCCAACGGAGATATCGTGTTTGAAATATTGGTGATCCGTCTATTTGGTATTTTGGAGAAATATTGTTTTTGAACCCTTTGAGCCCCAATCACGCCTATACGCGTAAATAATGGTCGTGCTCTTTGTTTCACATGTGACGTCATCAATTTAAATGTCATCAGATATTCTTGATAAGCAGATAGTAGAACTAGGCTAGACCTTTCCAGACATTGGTCAGGTTTAGATATCGACGACATTCCGACGTCACAAATCGAAAAACGTTATCAGTTTTGGTGCAAAAACGGTGGTAAAATGGTCCACTATGCCTATGATTGATCAAGGTTCAATTTTAGGCTTCGCCAAATTTTGGCTTATGCGCATGCCTGGAATTGAAATATTGCTCAATTTTGTGGGTAATCCCCGAAAAATCTCTCCTTTTGATAAAAAAAAATAGCTTTCTTAGCAAAAATTAGGCTTATTTAGCGTCATGGCAGCCAAAAACCTGACTAAACGGTTAAAAACGGTATTTTTTGGCAAAAGTTTGGTATTCAAAGGGTTAAACTTTTACTTCGCTCTCCGAGAGCCCAACTGATTAGCCCTGTGAACGCCAGGGTGGTGCGCAGCGGCAGGGAGAGGGAGTATATCGAAAGGTTTCACATAAATTTTCCATTATAGGCATGGTAGAGGAAACAATGTTCTGGCATGATGCAAAATTCTCATAAGTACACATCTTTAAAGCTCTCCTGTAAAGTTTAATTACAAGTACAATCTTCGACATGATTATATCCTGTCTTTGCGCGAAAATTAACTCTTTGCCGCAAAGAAATGGAACGAGCTAACAAATGATATTAGAACTAAAGTAGGCACTAATGAAGTGAACAACAAAATTCGATCGCTTAAGTTTGACTGATGTCGGAACTTAGTGTGATTTGATTCTTTAGATCCTTAGTTCTCTGCGTTTATACAGTGTAGGTCTTTATAGTTTTATACGATCAATTATTGTACGTTTTTGTTTTAATTTTTAGGATATACCAGGGCCGTGGATTACCTGTAAACTAGCTGACTAGCTAAGAGTAACTCCACGTTGAATAAAGTATGGTATCGTATTGTATCGTAAACAACTGTTGCTATGGTTGTTGCTATGGTGCGTTGAAATATAGCTACCAGAGTGCAGAGTTCTTAATTTCAACGTTAATCAAGGAGGAAGTCGAGCAAAACCGTTTCAAAGTTCGTTTTGCAAATGGTCAGACATGTTAAATCTTTGTTTCGAAAAAATAGTTTTTTGGAGAAAAATTTATATCTGAAGGTATAAGACCACCTTAAACAGAAGTGGAGCTTTCAATTCGGAAATGAGTGATCATCACTTGATGTTTGCATTGATGGTGAGTAAAATTTCAAAACATCGCAAGAAAGTGGTCACTTTTAGAAGGATAAAATCCCTAGATGTTAAAATGTTGACTGAAGAACTTACAAATGTCCCTTGGTGGATGATGAACATTTGCCCAGAGATATTTTTTTAATTTTTATACAGGTGGATGCTTAGTTAATCCGTAGAAGGTGTTTTTAAGGCGTTTTAAGTTATGGCCCATAACAAAATAAGGCTATGTTTTATTCAATAATTCGCTTTCAACACATTGTAAAATTTTGGGTGTCTATTTGATCTCGTTTTGGCCTCAAAACTAACTTCGATTTATTTTATTTTTCACTCAGTCATACCACGAAAACCTGGGGTCTGTTTCTCCAAAGCGCCGGAGACTTTGGGGCCCGTAAAGCCATTTTTAGTTCATCTGTATCTAAAAACGGAGAAGTGTATACGCCTGAAACTTCTTGTACGAAAAGAACCCCTGTTCTTATTAAGAATATGTGAATAAAACAGCTCTGTAATCATAAGGTTTGAGATTTTGCTGCGGCTTTCCGGGTGCGAAAGCTTTTCGGAACCTTCGAGAAATGGGACCCTGAGCTGAATATAAAATCCATTGAAAGATTCTCAGGTAGCTGTTGTACGGAGCAATCAAATAATCAGAAAATTCAGCAAAACCGGAGGCAGATTTTGAGCCCAGTTGGGGCGAAATCATTTTTGGCATATTTCAACCAAAGAAAGCTGTATTAGCTGAAACTTACTATGGTCCGTTTCTCTTCTTACTAGGACCAATCTATGGGCAAAATACAAGCGAAATCAATTTTTCGACTTGAGCCATTGATAGGCGATTTTGTTCGATTTTTACAGGTATTCAGCCTTAAATTATTTGCGTTTTAATTAATTTCGCAAATAGGTTACAATTAGCATTGTAAATAATTTATTCTTTCATAGTGAATAATAAATTTCATTTAAATTTCTAAATTTTTGTTATAGTTCAACTTTAAGCTTTTAATTAAGTGTACCTAATTAGCTCTTAGCTGAGAGCTAAATACTGATTGACACTTAAATAAAGTTTATGTATGTACGTATGTATGTATGTATTAGAAACTAAAATAAAATACTATACTTACTTACGTGAAATAAGCGTGAAAAAAAAAATATATATCGTAAGAATGATTCCGAAGATAGAGAGAGCCAAGCCTACGTAAGTGAGAATCCTCAATATCATCTGGTCTGTCTTTGTGATCTGGTTTACAAATTACTAATAAAAAACAACATACAAGAAAGGTGTGCCAATGAGTTGATAATCTCATGTGTCACGCAATATATCGATTTGCTATGTTCAACTCCAGGAGCTCCCCGTAAGCCTAATTAGCACTGTGTTTGGTCCGATTAGAACTATGACAGTGGTTGGTGGTAAATATTACCCTTATTGATCGCTTGATGGTAAAGATTACCCTTATTGATTGGTTGGTAGTAAAATTTACCATTATTACTTGGTTCGTAGTAAAGATCACCCTTATTAATTGCTGGTTTTCAGTGTCACGTAATTCAAAATAGATCAAAATCAAAATCAAAACCGGTCAATAGATAAAGTCCAGAATCTGGGAAATGAAAG